TTGGGAGTTTGGGGGTTTAGGGGGGTTGGGGGTTAGGGGGTTTGGGGGTTCTGGGGGCTTTGGGGTTTGGGAGTTTGGGGTTAGGGGGTTTGGGGGGTACCTGTCGTTGGGCCCGGGCAGGGAGGTCAGCGGGTGCGGGGAGCTGACCGGTTGGGCGGACTGGGACCACTGGGACACCTGCAGCAGGTTGGAGGAGTCCGGACTGGCAGCCATCGAGCTCCGGGACGAGTTCTGGGCCTGAAGGAGAGAGAGAGACCACGATCTGAACGGTCTGAGGGGGAACTGGAAACCTTTTGGACCCTCGGTTTGAACCGGGGCCTCAGGCTGAAGCTGCTAGCTACTGAGAGCCTGATCAGCTGGAGACTACGATCCCCGACAGACAGGAAGTCATTTCTTACCGAGGGCCAAACTACTGTACAACTACGGGTAAGTGGATTCCCTGCATAGTCCATCGGCCTCAACACTCCTTATAGTGATAGTTATATTCTATATTCAGTCTATATTCCATACAGACTGGTGGAGCTGGACTCTGTCTGACTCTACTGGCTACACTAGCCAACATGCACTACCCCTCCTCCCTTCTCTAGATTGGACGGTGGTCTAACTTCATACTTGACCAATGGCTTATCTCTTAGTAATGTTGATCTGGCAACTGTTTTAATTTAGTATTGTAGTGATTTTGTAATATACTGTGTGAACTGTAGTGTATGTTGTGTGTAATGTCTTAAGCTGCTGGGACCTTGAATTTCTCCTTTGGGATCAATAAAGTATCTATCTATCTATCTATCTATCTATCTATCTATCTATCTATCAAAAACCTAAAAAAGCTCATTTTTAAAACAGTGACAGTTTTGCAAAATATAAATGTTTACAGATATATGATATTGTGTTAAATGTGACAAGTGGATGTTAAAAACAAATGTGGATTTAAATTGTAAATGTAATAAATCCTCTGCTCTTTCTGCTGAGCGTGTTGAGAAACGGACGTAGAGTTTTGCTGTCTCACTGATTTCTCCTGTTTCCAGAGAGAGCACATAAGCACATTTGTTTGTTAAAAACAAATGTGGATTTAAATTGTAAACGTTGTAATAAATCCTCTGCTCTTTCTGCTGAGCGTGTTGAGAAACGGACGTAGAGTTTGCTGTCTCACTGATTTCTCCTGTTTCCAGAGAGAGCACATGAGCTGGTTATTTGCCCGCCTGGTACCTGTAACACTGGCAGCAGGACGGCAAAGGTAAGGCGGGATTTGGAGGCTGTGGGGGAAGATGGACTCACGCAGGCGATCTTGAGCAGGTGCCAGAACTCCCTCTGCCTCTTGATCTGCATCTGCATCACCGTGTTGTCGGCGTCCTTGATGCTCTCCAGAGTTTTCTCGATCCGCGGGAACAGGTCGATGATCTTCTGCTTGCTGATCAGGATCTTACTGCGGGGGGGGGGGGGGGAGACGCCTTTGGGGGGGGGGCCTGGGGGCGGGGCCTATCTGGGTGGGGTCCATCTGGAGAAGGTGGGGCCTTTCTATGGAGGGGGAGGCCTAACCGCGATGGGCGGGGTCTATCGGTGGAAGACAGGGTCTATTGGTGGAGGGCTGGGCCTACCTTAGGTGGGTGTGGCCTATATCCAGAGGGCGGGGCCTATCTTTAGAGGGCGGGTCTATCGGTGGAAGGTGGGGTCTACCTGAAGTGGGTGGGGCCTATCCCCCAGAGGGCGGGGCCTATTCAGGAAGGGCGGGGCCTACCAGAGGTGGATGGGGCCTATCCGGGGTCAGGGCGGGATTTGTAGAGGGCGGGGCCTACCTGAGGGGGGGGGGGGCCTATTCATGGAGGGTGGGTCTATCTGGGGAGGGCGGGACTATCTGAGATGGGTGGAGCCTATCAGAGGGGCGGGGCCCACCTGGGGAGGGCGGAGCCTATCTGGGGTGGTGGAGTCTAGCCGGCAGGGCGAGCCGTACCTAAGGTGGGTGGGGCCTACCTGAGGAGGGCGGGGCCTAACTGATTTGGGAGGGGTCTATCCATGGGAGGGCAGAGCCTATCAGAGGTGGGTGAGATCTAACAGATGAGGGCGGGGCATACCTGAGGAGGGAGGAGTTTATCTGTGGAGGGCGGGGCCTATCAGTGGTGGGCGGGGCCTATCCGTGGTGGGCGGGGCCAACCCGGGGTGGGCGGGGCCTATCCCAGGAGGGCGGGGCCTACCTGAGGTGGGTGTACAGGTCTTTGAGGACCTTGTCCTGGTTCTGGACCGTCTGGATGATGGCCTTCACCATCTCGGAGCTGTCGCAGCTCACGTCCGAGTCGGGAACTGAGAGACAAACGCCGAGTTTAAAAACGGCCAATCGGGTCGAAGCTTCAGACTCGAGAGGGAAAGGAAGACGACTCACTTTTACATTTCATCTTCAGCTGCTTGTAGAGCTCGATGGCTTTTTCTTCTCTGCAACAAAAGGCGTTTCAGTGAGTTAAATAAGCATTTAGTGAGTAAAAAAACACACTTTTAATTTGGATTTGATGGTTTTTGTGTATTTTGGGGCCTGAAATGTTTCTAAAGATGGCAGTGAAACAGACTAACTGCATAACTGGGTCTTATTGTGTCACTTTTCAGCTTCTTTTTTAAAAATTATTTTCAAAAAAGGAAAAAGAATTAAAATGAAAAGGAATTAAGAAGAAAGAACTATGCAACTTTGCCCACATCCAAGTCGGTCATTTTGATTAGGTCACCAATAGGAAGATCCCAGGCAAGAAAATCCTAATTGCTTCATGGTAATATAGACATTCATTTAAAAATAGTGAAATTGGATGTTAAATAGGTTTGTACAATAAGTCAAAACAAGTTTAACCAAAAAATATTTATTTCTCACAATTATGAAGGCTGGAGGGTCAGGGTCAGGGATGATAGGTCCTCAAAAATGATGTCCTAACCCTTAGGGTTAGGACATTGTTTGTCTTCCGATTTCGTACAGACAGTAAAGTTTCGTTTCCACCTCAGAAAGCTGCTAGTCACATGACCTAATCAAAATGGCCGACTTGGATGTGGGAGGAGTTGCATATCCAACCGAGGCTCCTACAGGCTGCAGCCAGAGGCTAACTGTTTGCTCTCTGGGGGTTTAGGGTTAGGATCAGGTTTAGGGTTAGGTTTAGGTTCAGGTTTAGGGTCAGGTTTAGGTTTAGGGTTAGGGTCATGGTCATGGTTAGGGCTATGTTCAGGGTTAGGTTTAGGACCTCTCTACTCACAGCTGCTCCATCTTGTCTCCCTGTCGGCGGGTGTACGGGCTCCTCTGCAGCTCCACGATCTCCGAGTGCAGCGCCATGATCTCGTCGTCCAGGTGACTCACCTCCGCCACCTGCAGGACGGGCAGGGGGGGGTCAGGCCAGGGGGGGTTAGGGTTAGGGTTAGGGTTAGGATTAGGGTTAGGGTTAGGGGGGCTTACCTGGGCGAAGGCCGCCGCTCGCTCCTC